TTTGCTGATATTTATTTATTCTTTCACCTCTTAATTAAATCTATTACCTTTTTCAAAAGATATAAATTTTTAAAATAAAACATTCGTAATGATTTAAATTGTACAATAAAAAGTATGGAACTGATACGGAATGGAAGCTTAAGCCCATATAACACACAATATCCGCAGGATATTCATAGAATGTCGGAATGTCCCATTATAAGATCATCTTATAAAGACGACATCTATAGGATATCCTCCAGACATCCTGAAATCCTGTTGATGTCTCAGAATAGAATATCCTATGGATATCTCTGTCGTATATCTAATGTACATCCAGCTGAGATATCCAAACATGCTCATGATAATAAAATATCCTAACAATATCGTCTAAATATTTAGGAAAAATAAATAATGTACTACTTTTTATATTACATAAAATGCAATAAACCATACAGATAGATATATATTACGTCAAGGCAACACAATATCCTGTTGGTATCTTCTGGATAATCTGGATATTTATGAGCTTGGCCACTCCCAGTAATACAGAGATTTTAAGCACAATCCATCTCGACAGTTGTTTGTTTTTGCATCGTGTATTATTCAGTTCTTTGATTTAGTGAAATTCGAGGTGAATTCGGTCGTTTGTCGATCTTGGATGGGCTTAAAAATGACTGAAACTAACAAAACTGGTTGAGTTGTCGTTGAGTTTGACTTAGTTTTTTCTTATACTCATCCTTGTTCTAGCAGAAATTCTATCCTAACCTCAACTAATGTCGAAAAACGACGAACGACTCAGGGTCTCACAATGAAAAATTTGTGACAAAATTATAGGTGAAAATTTGTTGAAAGGCGCTTGTTCTTTATCTCTAAACCCATTTTCGTGTTTGATCTATTCAAACAGAAATCCGACTTTTGTGTTTAAATTTTGAGTTTCTGGAATGTGTGGAGTTAGAAAGTATAACTGTATCCTGTGTGCTAACTTTGATGTAAACTGTTGCTGGTAGACATAAACTGCTAGACTCCATAAAGGGTAGTATAATCTGGTATAATACCATACGATCGAAAAAAACGGCGTCAGAGGTGGCTTGGAAATGAAGATTGCTCTTATTTTGTATGTAAAATTATATGGGGAATGTCATCGATCGTAATTTTCAAGCCAATTGAACGCCGTTTTTTTTTCGATGGTACAGTATAAATTGAGAGCTTTTAAACTCATACAAATAAACTTCTAAATTTTGACGCAAAATTCATTGACATATATGTAGTTATATTTTAGAGCTGTTAATAAAAATATCCAATGAATAACGTCAAAATGTGGCTAAATAAAACTAAATCGCGAACGTTTTTACTAAAAAGTTTATAGTATAAACTAAGGATGAAGTAAGTATTGTCAAATAACAGTCCTCATATAATGTCCTAAAAATATTCTATAATGCTCCCAACATCATCCTTGTATTATCCTAGAAATATCCCAAATAATCGTAAAAGGCTTGCCTAGGGATGTTTGCTTGCCTAGGGAAGATGACTTTTTTTGTATCATCTGCATATCCCATAAATATCCTCCTCTAGTTTTTGGATATCCCTAAGATATTTACTATATCCTTGGTGGATATCCTCAAGATATCTATAGGATTGTGTTGTGTTATATGGGAGTATAGCGTCAATACAATAAAAAACGGAACGGATATGGAATGGAAACGGAAGGTAGAGAATGAGAATCAACCTTAATGCATTTTTCTCAAAAAGTTCGTGATAAAAAAGTGTTTCCTCTTAAAGGCAATCCGGGGACATACTGATGTATAGAAAAACTTTTTTTCACATTGAAACCTGATGAGGAATCACCAAAACTGAAAATGAACCTTGCATTTTTCGTATACCTTGTATTGTGTAAAATATACAATACGTTTCTGAGTGTGCATATGGCATTTTTCTAAGACTCTCGTGACTCTCAGATCGAGAGATGAAATATCACCACGCCAAATTCAAGTTAAAAACAAATTAAAACAATTCTCTCCTTGCTTAAAGCGGTACCTTTATTTAATTACGTCTCTAGTACGATCTCAACGACACCAAATCAACGATTTCATCTCTTAATTAAGAAGTTTAAGCTTGGTATACATTATACATCCGGCATCAGTTCCGCACGGGTAAAATTCTGTAAGAAAATCCATTTTCCGGTATTTTTTAACGAGTATTTTGAATGAAATGTCGTTACATTTCAAAATTGTATTCCCCCGATAGGTGTCGGTCTCTGACGGATATAGCAAACACTAGCTCACCTGTTTTCTTTGTATACAGGTAAGTGGGGAAGGCTTACGTAGACCTACCTGGTCAGCAGGGTTGGATACAAACCTAAAGGTTTAAATTTATTACGTTCCTTACTACTTGCTATTTTTGCCACTCCTATACAGGGTGATTCACGGCCATGATGGATTTTTTTTTAAATTTGGATGTTTGCATAAAGGCGCTTGCTAGATCTGTCTAAAGTTAGCATCTTTGTAATTTTAAATGGGACACCTAATATATTATTATATTTTTCGCAACTACTTTTATATCTGACAATTTTTCTATTACACTAACCTATACCAATCTTCAATAGTTTTCGAGATAAAAAATGAAACATGTGTAAAATTGACAAAAACATGATCTTGAATAAAAGCATTGGTTATAGTTGGGTTATACCGTATGATCGAATAAAAACGGCGTCAGCGATGACTATGAAATGAAGATCGCTGATGTCATTTTATATGTAAAATTATATGGGAAATGTCATCGATCGTCATTTCCAAGCCAAATGGACACCTTTTTTTTCGATCATACCGGTAGTATATATTACACACCAAGGTGGAAAGTGTTGAACAGAAATAAAACTTTACACCGAGGTTTGTATACTATTTTATTTACAACCACATCATTAATTAAAAAATGAGGACAGCATTTTATTTTGAAAAAAAAGTAAATATGCGAAAATTTGTCGTTTTCTGTTTTGGCATTTCCATATCTATAGTCAGCTATAGTTACCAGTTGGTTGATATGACGCAAACCTTCAACACATAGCTTCAACAGCAAAACAAACAACTAAGTGACAGTTTTGAATTTCTTGTTCGCTTTTTCGAATTTATATAACAAAGAAAGCCAGAATGTTGTCGGAAAGTTCTGATAATAAAGACTACTTTAATATTGGTACTACACCAGAACTTACAGAAGCTGCAAAAAGAGCAGAAGCCAGTTTACTTCCAGAGAAAAGTAGGGGGCGATATGAAATAGCTAACAATATCCTGGACAATTTAAATGGCATCAGCCCACGGAATGGAAGTAAACTTTCCACCCGTGGCGTGGGTGGGAAGTAAAAATTAGAAAACTGACATTTTCCAACTTTCAAAAAGTCGGAAATGTCAACATTACTTATATGGTTGTAAATAAAATCATAAATTCGGCATATTGAAAGCTGAAATTTGGTTTAGAGGTTAAGGAAAGTCGACATATTCGATATGTCTAAATCAGCCAATTAGATATCAAACAGGGAGATCAAAGAAATATTTTTGTTTGTTATAAAATCGCTCAAATCATTGTTATTTTAAATTCAAGCCTACGTATATATTATTAAAAAAATCGAAATACAAATAAAATTGCTTTTCAACGATATATCATGTTCCTATACCAAAACGTTAATTTTTTTAGTAAAGCCATTTAAAAGGTAATAATTCTGTTATATATTTGATATCAATTATACGAGTACTTTTAGTTACGTAATCGAGGGCGCGATTTTTAAATTCATTGTTGCCAACCATGGTAACATATTCGTCTCCGGTCTGATTAACTGGAATTTAAATTTCCCGCTGGGGATTCAGGTGGTAGCTCTGCTGTAAAAATATCAAGTTGCCGCATTTATTTATTTATTTTCTAACATTGACATTCGTTTTGACACTTACTTAGTTTTGTATTACGAGATTTTGGTTTAAATAAATAGTGTTGTGATACTTTAAGCTTGAAAATGTTTACTAGCAGACCTTGCTCTCGAACATTGTTCTTTTTAGAACCTCTTTTAGTGCGAAGTGTACAAGATAGCTTAATCTTAATAGCCGTAAAAAACTCATCGCAACTTTATTACAATATTTTGAACGGGAAAGCGGTAATTATTGCCCTTTATGTCCCTTAAGTGCTGTTAAGAAGGTGCGTTTTATTGATGTAAATAATAACTGTTTATATATTTATAATTAATTAATTTTTGTTTCTTAAAATATTTTGATTAAAAGAAAATATATAAAAAAGGGCAACGCTGTGCCGGTCAAGCTTAATCACACGTGACTAAAAGTGTATTTGGTATGAACTATAGTTATTTCGTTTGAAGAAAATCATTACCATGACAAATACTTAACTTATATATAAATATCAATTAGAGTTTACTTGCTAAATTTCTAAAATTGTCATGGTAACGAAATTTTTAAAATGATACTATCTATAATAATAAAGTTATTAATTTTTAAATAAGTTTTACTTTGGTATATACAGGATGAGTCTTAAATAAGTGCAAATATTTTTAGTGCTGGTATATTTCGACCCCAGAAACGTATCTATGAGTTTTTTATTGCGATTTTTTTTATTTTTAGTTAAAAAACATAATATCTTCATAATATGGTAACCTAGGTAATAGATTAAATTTACAAGAAAGAAAACCCAAAAAAAATTCAGCGGTTCCCAAAATGTAAGCGAAAAAATCTTATTTGAAAAACGGTAAAGAGAAACTATGCTTTTTTATCGAGATCTACCAGCCCTGAAAATATTTGCGTTTATTTACGCAACCAACCCTGTATAATCAAGAAAATCATAACCAAAAAGAATAAATAACCAAGAAAAAGTAGCAATAATAATTTACTTCTGTAGTAAATTATGTAAAAATTACTGATTTTCTAGCTACCCAACCCTGATATTTCTACCTGTACAGGTAGGTGGGAGGCGCTTGACTACCCAGGTCACGTGACGTCGGTGTTTTTTACGTGAAAAACGAGCTTCGACGCTCGACCGTTGACGGGAAATTCGAGCGGTCCTTGCGAGCCAAACCAAACGTCTGTTTCGATCGAACCTTAGTGAAAAACGGCGGAAAACCCACAAGAAAACGGAAAATCGGTATTTTATGAATGATAATTGATATAATTACTCGCAGTGATTAAGCGGAATGAAGTGTCGTGGCTCGGAATCGGCCAACGTTTCGAATATAGTAAGGTGGGAGTGCTCAGGCCGGGAGGAACAATGCAGTGGTACGTGTACCATTTAAAGATTTGCCATTTTTAAAAGGTAAATATCGCTTTTAAGTAACTGAAACTACCCGGGTTTTTTTAAATATTTTATTTTAATTTTTGTTACTAGGAAGATTTTTGTTTTTTTGATCACAAATTCTTATATTTTTATTATTTTTGTTTTATTTTCGTTTTTCAATTAGATATCTTTATTAATTGTTTTCGTTATTTGTATATTGTTAGAAATTTGTTAAAAGTCTCAAAACTCAAGTTAATCTTGAACTTGTTTGACAAACTATAACTATAAATTTAAAACATTTCTTGAGCATTTTGTTTAAATAGTTCTATTAAAATCTCAATAACATCGAAATTATTGATCTGATGCCAAAAAATTACAACTTTTTGTTATTAGTGGATATATTAACAATAATTGTCAAAAATATAGTCATATAATTACTAATTTTTAAAATTTAATTATTCTGTTATTGATTATTTTTATTTAAGAATGTTCTTGACACCGAAATTCTCACAATACTTATCATAACTCTGTAAACATTTTTGTTTTATTTTGTGTGCTAAATAAAGTGTATAGGTACAGTTAGCAGTTCTAGATATATGACTCCGATTCATAATATTTTATATTCTCATTCCTTATCTCTATTATTTATTATCCTATCTTCACTCAGAACAAAAAAATTCGTTCACAATTAATTATATTGAAGGTAACGCCGATCAGCAAAATGAATTTATTATTTGAAATTTCTATTTTACAAAAAATATTTTATTTGTACATTTTTTCAAAAATTTAATTTCTCAGAAAATAATTTATATACTTACCGATATCAAAAGTTTTAACTAGATAAATATTTCATTGTTCTGACAGATAGTATTTAAAACAATAAATATATATATTATTAATAAGCCAGAAAGTTCACAGAGAGATAAATAGATTAATAGAATTTAAAGAATAACTTTCTATCTGTTGTTTTAATATAACTGATGTCAAAAGCAAAATTATCCTAAAAAGCAGTTATGTTTTGAGAAATCTTTTTATATAAAAATCGAGAAAATTCTAGAAAATACCTACGCATTATATTAGGTCAAAATACATAAGTTAGGACTTTGACGTATTTATTCTTAGCTTCATTCAGAACCCCGCAATTAGTGGAATAAATTAGTGGTTTCAATTACACTTTATACTTTTTAGTTTAGGAAGATTCGCAATGTTCGCAAAAAACACAAATTAAATTAATAGAATATCCTAGCAACAACTTGCGTTAGTCAGTTGCATCCATAGAGAAATAGCTTATTTTATTTAGCTTATAAAACAATCAACTTTTGATTTCTAACCACAACTTCTCTTGACGGTACGAAGTATAATTAGTGGAAAAGTCAAAAGTTTGATAACTTTTTCTACTAATTGAAAATGTCTACCACTAATTTTGACGTTCTGAATGCTTCCATTGTAATTAAAGGAATAAACTTCTACGCTAATTAAAACCACTAATTGCGAGGTTCTAAATGAAGCTTTTTATCATAAAACCATGTCAGAACATTTATTATTGCATTTGTTCCATCAAAACAAAAACAAAATCAGAACTTATTACAGATCTGAATACCTTTAGGCACCGCTTTAGGTTTATTTTTTGTTTATTTTGAATTTTGATGTATTTATTTTGTATAACAGGTCTGGTCATTTCACCTGCGTGGTCTGTTTTAGTTTATGTGATGGTATGTATTTTAATGCATGTGACAGAGAAAAATATAAATGACCGGTTGACAGACAGAGAGACAAAATAAAAAGCGGCATACAGTGTGGCCGGTTTTTACGTTTGTAGGAAAATGTGTGTAGAAAAAAATAAACTATTTTAAAAACTTTCATGTATAATATGTATACTACTAAAATGAAGATAATATATGTATGCTAAATAAATCTATTAAAGCTGTAGTAAAATGAGTAAATAATTGTGAAAAATGAAGTTCCAACCCTAGACGCAACATTTTTCATAAACGTCTAATTGTGCGGTTTGAAATTTTGATGCAACATCCGGCAATACCGCATAGAAGAAATGTATCAACCCAATTTTTATCTCTTTTTAATACATTCGATTTTCTATTACGCTGTCTAAATCACTGTCTTACACGTTAAAATCCAGACCACGCAGTTCCCATGATCGGTAAGTACATATTGCAAATCTGAAAAATTTCTGCCAAAATAAAAACTAAACTAGAATCATGTTTTCTACGTATCTGAAGACCCTGACGCATTTATTTTTAACCGACCATTATAACAAAAAAAATAACAAAAAGCAAAATAAAAACACTAAATCACCGCAATACACCAAAACACTTTTACTTTTACACTGGACGCGCGTTTCGCTAACCATGTTAGCATCATCAGCAGATGATTATAAACTAAAGTACAATTTACAAGTTGAGCGTTTATATACTCGTCCAGTGGGCACCGAGTGGGCGTGGCAAACTCTAGCCAACCGAGTCAGAGCCCACTGAGCGTAACAGTGGAATTGGACCGTTGTCTCTGTTCATACTATCTTTACATTTATTAATTCTGATGCTTTCATATGCATCTAATTGCCTGTAATTTGAGACTTGTTTAATTAATTTTAAATTATTAAGTTAGTAAGTTAATCTTATGGGAGGGGGTTAAATATTTAAAAAAATCTCTTAAAAAACTCCAAAATTACAGTAGCTAGCAAAACGCGGTTTTCAAATTGAGATTAGGAATAATATTTGCAACAAAATTTGTAATAACATCAAAATCAGTTAAAGTCGCAGTTTTCGAGATATTAACATATTTTAGTATGGGCGGCTATACGTGTCTCCCGGCGCCAATGTCAATTGTTTTAGCAATAGACCAATAGATAAAGTTTAAAGTCAAATGTTCGACACATGTATTTCTTGTAATTAGTAATAAAATATTATTTATTCCACTATGTTTATCTTTTTCAGGAAAAAAATCCTGCCCCTATATCTGCATCGTCAATCCGGATATAGCATTTTCCATTGTTCCTCAGTTAATAGTGCATAAACTGTCGTGATATCGAAGGTGTTGAAGAAGAAAGCTAAATGACTCGATCGAGCATCAAAAAATAAAATGTTTTCCTTGAATCGGACGTTGAACCACTTTGTGTGCTTACTAGTGTTATCAAATGTCGCGTTTGTGTTCTGCCAAGACGATTCCCAAACGTCCAACGACGGGTACTACGGAAATAATGATAACGGTGCATCATCCACCATGACGGAGTACGCTGGAGGAACCATAGAGAATGATAAAGTGATTTTCGAGAAGAGCAGGAGTCCGTATTGGTTAAGGAACGATATAATAGTTGAGCGAGGTGCGGAACTGGTAATCGAACCTGGGGTGACCGTCAAAGTGGAACCGCAGGTTGGAGTTACGGTCAGAGGTGTACTAAATGCACAGGTGAGCAATTATTGGGTGTATACAGGGATGTCCCAGACTGAACGTGCATTAGAAGTTTCTAGAGACCCACAATATCTAGATCGGAGATTTTTTGCACATCATTGTTTTACAACTAGATCTATCGATTAAAAATATTTTCAATATGGCGGCACCGAAATACCGGAAGTTGACAGCAACTTTCTTATTTTAAATGGCTGCCCCCATTTTTTATTACAGACTTAAATTCCCTGTAAAATTTTAAGAATTTTGATATTCAACACTCTATACCTAACCTTAAGGGTTTTTGAGAAAACCCTTAATGTTAAATCCTTAAAGTTTTAAACGTCAAGTGATGTAAAACAAGAAAAATATACCTTTTGAAACTAAATCTTAAATAACTTTAAAACGATTTATTTTATTTAGGTCTGGGAACATGTATATAGGGAAATTAAAACAAGTTTCGGTGCACGTCATTAATGACACCATGCGTCGTCTTATGGAGTTTGCTGATGGTCGTATTCTGATGTGCAACCAAAGTTATTTTAATTTCCCTATAGTTAAAACGTAATGAACTGAAAACCCGTTTCACTGGTGAAATAAAAAAGTAGGTTTCCATTTGAAAAAAATGATTTATGATAATTTTTTAATCGCTCAATTCCATTACAGCTACCATCATTATTATATGACATTTAAAGAATTTAATTTTTGAAATAGATAGCCACATGTCTTCTCTTTATGTCACAATGGCTGTGGTAATCACTAAATTTGACGTTTAGGCTATACAATTTTTTTTGACAAGTTTTTTTCCTCCAAAAATTTTAAATATTTTTTTTTCTCAGAAACGGTTAATGTTAGGTGTAGAGTGTTTAAATCCATATCCATAGAATTTTACAGGGAATAAGTAGATATGTAATAAAAAATGGGGGCACCCATTTAAATTAAGAAAGTTGTTGTCAACTTCCGGTATTTCCGGAAGTGTCACCATATTGAAAATATTTTTAATCGATAGATCTCGTTGTAACACGATGATGTGCAAAAGGAAGAAACTTCTAATGCACGGTCAGCCTAGGACACCCTGTATACTGTATTATATAGATGCTAGGTCCAAGTCAAGACCTTAGTGTCAAATCTAGAATATATTTTATTTTTTGATATTAATTGACTAACAAATTTTTATGTCAATTTACCTACTCACATTTACATCATCATCATTATCATCTTCAGCTTATTCAACAATTTTCAATTATGATGTAGTCTCCAAGTTATCCATGCTAGTTTGCTAATATAATATCATAGTCCCATCTCAGGTTTGGTCTTCCTCTAGGTCTCTTAATTTCTTGTGGGTACCATGCTGTAATATTTTTGGTCCATCTGTTGTCCGTCCTTCTTGCCAGGTGTTCTGCCCATTGCTATTTGAGGGATTTGATTCCGTAGATGACATCTATTACCTGAGTCTTTTGTCGTATCCACTCTTTTTTTACAGTCTTCCTTGGTTATTCCCAGCATATTTCGTTCCAATGAGCGTTGTGCGACCTACAGTTTTCTTATAATGTCCTTTTTAAGTGTCCAGGTTTCGCATGCATAGGTCATATCTAGTAGTACACATTCGTTGAATATTTTCTTCTTTAGATAGAATGGCATTCTAGATGATTATATGATTGAGTTTCTTCCGTAAGTACTCCATGCTAACTTAATTTTTCTGTTGATTGCTGGTAGTAGAGATCCCGAGCTGTTGTATTAGTTGTCCCAAATATATATATATGTTCTCGCCTTTATATACTATTTATTAATTTCATGTCAATATAAGTGTGAGCCCAATATAAATTATCATCTATTGTCGTTTGAAAGGCTACTTGACGTCGTTTATTTATTTTTTTTGATTATGGGAGAGATAAAAACAAACAGCATCAATTTCTATAAACAAGGAAATTCGAAACACTAGCTATATTAGTAAAACGAATGTAATCTTGTTTTTATCTATAATGAGTAACTATGCTATGGGTTTAAATAAATAAGTTTATCATTAACAGAAGTCATAAATAATACACAACACAAAATTCCGTACCTATAACCTATTATAGACATATTTTATCAAGAAAAATTGGGTTACTAGATTTTTATCCTATCTGTGAGAATATTTTCTAAACCAGGTTGAACAAACAAAATAGTATCGGACCTGTAACAAAAGCCCACTTGTTATTAGGGATGTATGTAACTAAGAAAAAGTATCGATAAATATATATATTTTTTATTTTTCCGTTTATTTAAGGGTGTTTTGAATTGACATTTAAACAAATAGAGACATCATACTGTACCAACCAAGAACTATCTTAATTATTTTTGACAAATAGCTATAAATGCAAGAATGAAACTATAATTAACTTTAAACAAATATCTTGTAGGTATAGGTTAGGTTGCTGCGGTTTGGGATCATGTTTGATCCCTCACTTGGAGGCCTTGGGCCAATTGCGATACCCCTGTATTGTTGTACCCTTTAACGCGTCGGTATACCAGTGCCGCACAGTGGCAGAGCAGATGGTCTATGGTTTCTTCTTCCTCTCCGCATTGTCTGCAGTCGGAAACTTTCTATCTCACGAGGTTTACCCCCGTGGGACTGTTTCCAGTGACGACACCTACAATTATGTGTACTAGGTCCTTTTTGTGCTCTAGTAGTTGTTTTGTCTTTTTGCTATCTACCATTGGCCATAGTTTTCGAGCTGTAGCGCAGTTCTCACGGTGCTTGGCTTTGATGGCAGTTCCTATAGCTTACTTCAGTGTATTGATCGTCACGAATGGTGGGTCATCTACCACGGCCTCTCCCCTGGTCCCGTCTTTGGCGAGACTGTCTGCTTCCTAATTGCACACCACATTGCTGTGGCCTGGCGCCCAGCACAGAATAGCCCAGTGCTTTTCGGCATTCCATCACAGTTTTCGATCTCACTGATTGCATGGTGATGCTTCTTAAAGCGGCCAAGCTGTCACAGTATATCACTATATCCCCTATTGGTCTATCAGCAATTTTCTCTCGTATTCAACTAGCCTCTTCCTTTATGGAGTAAACCTCTGCTTGTAGAACATTACAACCATCCGATAGCCTTAAAGATCGTAGGATGTCTAGTTCCTCTGAGAAGATGCCTATACATGTGCCCCCTAAAATGGTGGAAGCATCTTTGTAGACTGCTATCTCTTGAGTGTTCATTACTACCTCCGTGCTTTTCCATTCTTCTCTTCTCGGATGCGAATTCTTATCTTTTCTCCAAAATCATGTTTGGTGAGCATATCTAGTCCGTTTTCTGGTCTAGCAGATGTGGACTCGTGTTCACCATGATTTTTCCTATCGGTCGAGTGACCGTAGTTGGTCTGGTTCCACAGATTTAGCAGCCAAACCCTTCACGAGCCAGTCGATTGATTGCAAGTCCAGAATTGCTTCTAGCGCAGCTTGTGCTGTGTTGTTCCTTGCTCCAGTTGTACCTAGAGCTGCTAATCGCTGTACTTTTGTTAAGCTTTTTCTATTAGTCTCTTTAAGTACCGCTTCCCACCATACTAGTGGTCCATAAGTGATGATTGGTCTAACTATAGCAGTGTACATCCAGTGTATAATGTACGGTTGCAGACCCCATCTCTTTCCAAATAGTTTTTTACATGCACAGAATGCATTTATTCCCTTTATCATCCTTTCCTCCGTGTTCCTTTTCCAGGAAAGCTTCGAGTCCAGTATGTAGGTATACAGTTAAAGAGTTTTTACTATATTTTACATGTTTAAGTAGGGAAATCGATAATAGCACAATGCACAAAGAACTAATTTTGAAGCATTTCTAAGATTTACAATAGTCCTACTATAATTCATCTCCGTACGTATGATGTTTTCTAGTTATATTTTTAATGCTTTTTAATGAAAACCAATATATAAAATAAACAAGAACTAATACAAAGTAAACACCGAAAAGCGCAAGAAACTAACAATGTCAAGAGCAAATCTAAACAAAACTTTAAAAAATGTTTCACAAGAGGTTTCGTGTACGTAAAATATTCGATATTTTATACAATATCGATAAAATATACTGGGTGAGTCTTAAATAAGTGCCAAATATTTTAAAGGGTTTTATTTCAACCCCAGAAACACGATTATGAGTTTTTTTCTCGCGAAAAATGAAACTTTTGATTTTTTTGAATTTTTAATTAAAAAATATAACTTGTTGATAATATAGCAACATAAGAAGTAGATTAAATTTTTAAGAAAGAAAACCCAGAAAAAAGCAAAAATAAATATTTTTAAGAGATTTTCAAAGTAAAATAACTCGGTTATTTTGGACTTCGAAAAACGGTAGTAGTCTAAGAGCAAAAAAAATTTTTCAACATAAAAAACCTTATCATCGTTACATGGCTAATTTTTTGTGTGAAGTATCCTTTTGTGTAGCCATTATGAAATAGTCATGTCTGCCAGCGCGATCCCGTGGCTTAAAGCGGGGGCGGCCTATCAAAAGGGTGAAATTTTGACACTAAAAATATTATAAGGTACATGAGTTATAATAGCGAAAATAGCTTTTATTTATTATTAAGAAACCTGGAAAATTGTTGGAGACATTTTTCTAGTCGCTAAAATGCCGACAGACAACGCGAAAGAGGCATGAAATTTTAAAAATTATTAAAAAATGAAATTTGAGAATGAAAAAAATTATGGCATATTTGCATGCGGATTGGTGAAATGTCATATTTATTTATTTTAAAAGCCGTATGCCAAAGGGCAGACAAAAAGATCGTGGCTCAATCAGCTGCAGACAGTTATCAAAAGCGCGATATTACTCTAGTGCTTTATTCAGGGAACGCTAGCATCATCAGCAGATGATTATAAAGGAAGAGAAGAGATTTATAATCATCTGCTGATGATGCTAACATGGTTAGCGAAACGCGCGTCCAGTGTAAAAGTAAAAGTGTTTTGGTGTATTGTGGCGATTTAGTGTTTTTATTTTGCTGTGTAACACCAAAGGTTCCAACCCTCAACTTTAATATACGATTATATT